TCACTTGAAATTTCAGCCATTTGTTTCTTATGGCTAACCAGTTTACATTTCTCATGCCAACTGGGGGAAAAGTAGCTTGTATTTCAGCAATTTGTTTTTTATAGCTAACCAAATTCTCAGATAAGAACCAATATGGTTGAGATCGTGCTTAATCACAAGGATAAAAAATACAGTCGGACATATTGATCTCATTGCAACTGTAATTTGACAATGGCAGAATCTCCTGAAACAACATTCTACTGTTCTTCCTACAACAATGTTGTGCACTCAACAAGAGATGTAAAATAACATTGACGAAGGAGGGGCAAACAAGCATGAAGAAATATTCAAGATCGAGAAGTTACAAGCCAATAAATATGAAATACTGATTATCCAGTCATATGTTAAACATATGTGAAAAAATCTGAAGCATCATTTATATGTTAGGCTTTTAGCATCTTGGGAATTTCCTGGAGGCATACAAAGCAAGAAAGAAAACTTACTTGCTCGAGAATGCAACCCTTGCGGAGAGCTACTAAACATTCTAGTGCTTTATGGTATGTGTCCCCTTCAAAGGAGTTCTCCACCATATCAAAAATCTTATTTTTCATATCTTGAATTGCTTTATTGACCCATTCTGTACCATCTCTGCGAGACATCATGGCTTCAAAATCTTGTACAGGATCCAAATCCCCTATTTTCTCAACTTTAACTCTGGATGTGTATTCAATGGCATCAATTGCTTGCACAGCAACGCTGCCAAGTCCTTCCTCATTTGATCCAGTCGGTTTCTCTTTTAATAATCTTCGAGACGACTTCTTCAGCTGCAGAATATACTGAGTAAGAAAAACCAGTACTTCTGTAGAACTTGGTAGCACATAAAATTGTATGATGAGCAGCCAAAATAACCTTCGGATTCTCTTTGAGTTCAAAGCATCTATGAAATTCATCTATAACAGCTTTATTTTGAGAAATAAGTTCAGGATCAGGCTCTGTTATCTTCCTGAGGGTTTCATCAAGTGGAGGGACAGCTGCATCTTGTTGCTTAGATTTCACTTCAAGACAGTGATAAAATCGCTGACATGTAGACCAACACTAATTATTTATGGAAAAGGAAAAAAATGATGAAAAAAAAATACTAACAAAAGCAATCTGTGAAGCGCAAATCAGAAACATCATTGGTAGAAAATTTTCGTTCAAATAGCTAACAAGGCATTGTTTTGTTTTTCAGAACAGTAGCCTTTCAGGATTCACCACCCAAGTTCAGGTGTTTTTGCTGCAAGAAGTGGCATTGCAGTACAAACAATGCAATGTTTCCAGAATTTCTATGCAAAAAATTAAATAAAATAATAATAATAATAATAATAATAATAATAATAATAATAATAATAAACGATAATAATAATAATAAACCCAAGCATTGTGGCTTAATCAAAGGAAAATCTCCAGAAATGTAGTATGAGAAAGCAGTGGCAACTAAGATTTTGTTTTAACTAAACCAATTTTAGATGAACAATTTAGTCACTTGCAACATTATCTGGTAGAAAATTTTCGTTCAAATAGCTAACAAGGCATTGTTTTGTTTTTCAGAACAGTAGCCTTTCAGGATTCACCACCCAAGTTCAGGTGTTTTTGCTGCAAGAAGTGGCATTGCAGTACAAACAATGCAATGTTTCCAGAATTTCTATGCAAAAAATTAAATAAAATAATAATAATAATAATAATAATAATAATAAACGATAATAATAATAATAAACCCAAGCATTGTGGCTTAATCAAAGGAAAATCTCCAGAAATGTAGTATGAGAAAGCAGTGGCAACTAAGATTTTGTTTTAACTAAACCAATTTTAGATGAACAATTTAGTCACTTGCAACATTATCTGTATGAAACTGACATTGATAAGTACCTCCAGAACAGGATTAGGTGTGAGATCGGGTCGCAAAACCTCCTTGCCAGTTGGTGCAAGATCAAGCATCTGAACCAGCTTATCCGCTGCTTCTTGCTGTTGTTCATTTGGCTGCATTGATGAAGGCAAGTTGCTGAAAGATGGAAACTGAAACTCCCTGATATCCTCCGCAAATGGAAGAACATTGAAGTAAAATGAATCTGGCTGCCCCCAACATAAAAAGAATGTCAAATTTGACAGATCGAATATAAATCCACATGCTAAAAGGCAGAAACGAAATGCTGCAAATC